AACACATAAGCCGTTTGAAATACTCACACTGCTCAGGAACGGACGGGATTCCGAATTCGATTATTAAACAAGCGTCCGACTTTCCCATATTGCTCAGTCATTTATTCTCGGTTTATATTTCAAAAGGATTCTTTCCTGAAACCTGGAAAACGTCAATTATCATTCCCTTCTTCAAGTCAGGATCTCGGTCCGATGTTAATAACTATCGGGGTGTGCACAAAACGCCGTCTCTAGCAAAACTTCTTGAAAGGATTATTTTCAGTGAAATTCTTGACTTCTGTCTAGCTAATCGGCTTCTGAGCTCTAGTCAGCATGGGTTTTTACCTGAACGATCCTGCGAAACATGCCACTTGGCTTTTCTTAATCTAATCACTTCTCTTTGTGATGAGCGGCAGTGAGTGGTAGTTATTTACTTGGATCTTAGCAAAGCCTTTGACAAGGTGCCCCATAGACGTCTTTTAGTAACATTGGAAGCCCTCGGCATCCGGCCGCCTCTACTTGACTTCATCAGGTCATATCTGTCCAACCGATATCAGAAAGTCATGGTCGGTAATAGCTACTCGACACCCCACTCGATCACGAGTGGCGTACTTCAAGGCACGGTTCTGGGTCCGCTACTCTTCCTTCTGTCCATCAATGACATTTCGACTGAACTCGGAAAGTCGCAAACTTTTACTTATGCCGATGACCTCAAGTGTGTTTACTCATACTCTAAGGACACCGCAAATGTTTGTGTTGAAAAAATTAATGCCGATTTATTACGCTTAAGCAGATGGGGTTCGACATGGCAGATGGAGTTTTCATCATCCAAGTGTAGTTTCATGTCTTTTGGTCCTACCAAACTTCCTGGTCCCATAATTTTTCAGAACAACACACTCTCAGAATGCCTCACCATAAAGGACCTAGGTCTAAGTTATACAAATAAACTTGCTTTATCACCTCATGCAGATAGAATCTCTGCCAAAGCCGCGCAGATATGTGGATTCATATCGCATAATTTTTT